GATTTCTTATGCTTGATAAAATTATTTGAAATCATCGATATCATATCGTCGTTCCACGTTCTAGAGATTTATAAAATTTATTCTATTCACGTAAATTAATTTGTTTACAATTATTTAAATTAAGTAATTAATTATTATTTTACATGTTATACATGTACACTTATCGTGATTATCGTATTAAGAATATTTTATCTTAATATTGTAAACATTAATATTTGCAAATCAAAATGCGAATTAATAAAAGAAAACTTACAATTGCATTGCCTTGTTGCATCCACATAAATAACGTTTATCTTGCATCCTGTATTAAGTGAAAAGATAAAAATAACAGCATTATTTTTTTTTTATGATGATACTATTTGATCTTATGTGTTTCTTTTTTCGGATCTATGAAAAAATTTGCAAAATTTTCAAAAGAAAAAAACTAAAAAAAAATAGTATGGAAGAGAAAACCTTAAAAAAAAGCAGATATATGTGCGTGTGTGTAAAATAGATATACTTGTTCGAATGATATATTTAATAGGATTTTTACTCCTCTAATTATCCATGTTTCATCTTTAGTTAAATTATAGACACATAAGAAGTATAAAAACGCTTTTTTAAATCGAGTGCCTCTAAAATGCCTCTAAGATATTGTATCCACTTACCCCTTTATGCATTTGCATCTACTTGGCCGTCTAATATATTGAAAATTAGTACTGTTTGCGTTATGTCAATTTTCATTCAAATTCATTATTACGGTATCACCGGTCATACGAAGCGTAATCCTTTTATGATTCTATATGATCAAATATACAATCTCGAGAGATATGTTTATTAATGCGCTTATATTTCTCCCATTTATTATTACTTTTTATATTATTATATGACATTATTAGTGTGAAAAAAAAGAAAAAAAATTGTATACAATGAAATAAAAGCTTTAGGAAGACGCGCGTGTATGACCAGCGTGACTCACTTTTCACTTTTCTCCTTCTGCAGTAATTCTCTCATTCTAGTGTTGCACACGCAATATTTCTTACTGTCGGATAAAAAAAAAGGATTACTTTTGACATCACTATTCATCATTTTGGTTTGGTTCGGTCTATACGTTGAAGATGCTCACTTTTCTTTCAAGAAATTGATGTAGAGAAATAATATCCCGGTAAATCCGATAATAAACTTTCCAAGGTACCAAGTGAGATTGGTCGTGCAATTCGGCATTGCGAGTATTATACATACGGTTCGGAATCCGAGTCTCAACACCTTTATTTGCTCGATATAATTCAATATCTAAGTAATATTGTTACTTCTTTTACTCTCTCACAATTTAAAATCCACGAAACGTAATATTACAAATATATAAAACAAATGATAAATTTGCCTTTTAACGCGTGTCAAAAATAACAAAAATCTTAAAAATTTGCTGGTTAATTCATTATTCGTTATTTGTAAATTGATATTGCATTTGCATTATTATTATGTATATAGCGCCGTGTTCTTTTGATATATCGATAGT